TAGAAGGATGTGCAGCTATGACATACAACTATCTACTGGGGCTTTGGGGGAAAAAATAAATGAATAAATAAAATTATAAAAAAAAAAAAAATAGAATTAGTGATTGTATTTGAGATAGGGTCTTGAAAAGAGGTAACTAAGGTTAAATGAGGTTATATGGGTGGGTCCTATCCCAATATGACTGGTGTCCTTATAAGAAGAGGGAGAGGTATCAGGGATATATGCACAGAGAGGAAAGGCCACGTGAGGACACAGCAAGAAGGCAACCATCTGCAAGCCAAGGAGAGAGGCCTCAGGAGAAACTAAATCTCCCGCCACCTTGAGATCTTAGACTTCTAGCCTCTAGACTGTAAGAAAATAAATTTCTGTTGTTTAAACCACTCTGTCTTTGGTATTTGTTTTGGCAGCCCTAGCAAACTATTAGTTTCATCTTTTATTAAACAACTACACCTTCTATTAATACGTCTTCTATTAAACAACTCTTGGGTGAAAAGAAAAATACAAATTGAAATTAGAGAATTTCTAAAAAAATAACATAATTAAAACACTACATATAATCTATAGGATACATTTAAAGCAGTGATAAGAAAATTCTTAGGACCAGACGCTTCTACCAGTAAAACTGAAAGAATGAACATTAGTTGAATTAAATTCCCAACTCAAAAAATAACAAAAAAATGAACAAAGTAAACTAAAAGAAAGCACAAGGTATATGACATGATCTTAGAAAACTCTAAGAATCCACAAAGCAGATAGTAGAAAACACATGACTTTAGCAAGGTCACAGGATACAAGGTCAATACATAAAAGTTAACTAACTGTATTTCTATATGCGAGCAATAAACAATTAGTGAAATTAAAAAAAAAACCCTCCATTTATAGTCACATAAAAATGCTTAGGAATAAAATGTAACACAAGATGAGCATGACATATACAACAAAAACTACAAAACTTTGAGGAAAAGGAATTAAAGATGACCTAAATAAATGGAGAGATAGGCCATATGCATGGACAGGATAGACTTAATATTGTCGAGATGACAACTCTCCTCAAAATGAGCTATAGATTCAGTGTAATCTCAATTAAAATCTTAAGCCTTTTTGAAAAAGGTGACAAGCTGATTTTAAAATTGATGTAGAAAGGCAAAGGACTTAGAATAGCCAAAACAATCTTGAAAGAAAGAAAAAGGTAGAGGGCTTATACTACCTGAATCAAACTTACTATAAAGCTACAGTATTCAAGACAGACATACAGATCAAGGAAACAGAACAAAGTTTAAAAACAGACACACACTTATATGGTCAACTAATTTTCAACAAAGGCACCAAAATAATTCAATGGGGGAAAAGACAGTCTTCAACAAATGGTGCTGGAACAACTGGATACCCAAATGAAATAAAAAATGAATGTCTACCATCACTTCACACCATACAAAAATTAACATGAATTGGACCATAAAACCTATACATAAGAACCAAAATATTAATCTTTATAAGAAAATATAAGAGAAATCTTTGTGACACAGGATTAGGCAAGGATTTCTTAAACAGAATACAAAAAGCACAAACTAGAAAAGAAATTGATAAAATGGATTTCATCAAAATAATTTTCTTTTCGACAGACACAATTAAAATAAACAAGAAAGCAAGCCACAGACTGGGAGAAAATATCTGTAAAACACATATCTGACACAGGGCTTGTATGCAGAACACATAAACAGCAGTTACAACTCAACAAGAAGATAACTTCCCAATTTTAAAAATGGGCAAAATAGGGGCCATCCCGGTGGTATAGTGGTTAAGTTCTTGCATTCTACTTCAGCGGCCCAGGGTTCGCAGGTTCGGATCCCAGGCAAGAACCTACGCAGCGCTCATCAAGCCATGCTGTGGTGGTATCCCATATACAAAATAGAGGAAGATGGGCACAGATGTTAGCTCAGTGCTAATCTTCCTCAGCAAAAAGAGGAAGACTGGCAACGGATGTTAGCTTAGGGCCAACCTTCCTCACCAAAAAAAAAAAAAAAAAAAAGAGCAAAATATTTGAACAGACACTTCACAAAAGTGAAGTCACATATAAGCACATTAAAAGATGCTAAACATCACTAGCCATCAGAGAAAATCAAATTAAGACCATAGTAACATATTACTATACATCTGCTAGAATTATTAAGTTAAAAAGACTGACAATAACAATCATCAGTAAAGACGTGTCAAACAAATGGAACTCTTATACGTTGCTACTAAGAATGAAAAACAGGATAATCACTTGGGAAAACAGTATTGCTATATGTTATAAAATTAAATATACATGTACACATATGACTCAGCAATCTCATTCCTAGATATTTAACCAAGAGAAATAAAAACATACGTCCACACAAAGACTTGTACATGAATGTTCATAGCAGCATTATTTGTAATAGCTCCAAACTAATAACAACCCCAATATTTGTTCATCAAAAGAAGAATGGATAAACGAATCATGTTATATCCACACAATGGAATATTAATTAACAATAAATAGGAATGAACTACTGATACATGCAACAACATGGAAAAATCAGGCATCGCCTAAGACTGGGAATCAGGGGAGAGGTCAAGTGCAAAGAGACATGAGAAAACTTTTAGGGTGATGGAACTGTTCTATGCTTTTATTGTGATGATTACACAACTGCATACAATTACAAAAATTCATCAAACTGTACATTATTTAAGTGGGTGAATTTTAATTTATGTGCATTAAATACCAACAAAACTATAAAAACTTTTTCATGGCAAAAACACAGAAGTAAAGATGAAAGCAGAAATTAATGAGGTAGAAATCAGAAAAACAGTTGATTCAATAAATCAAAATCCTAGTTTAGAAAAAACACTGAACTGCAGCCCACCTGGTGGCATAGAGGTTAAGTTCGCATGCTCCGTTTTGGCAGCCCAGGGTTTGCAGGTGCAGATCCTGGGCACAGACCTACACACAGCTCTTCAAGCCATGCTGTGGCAGTGTCCCATATACAAAGCAGAGGAAGATGGGCACAGATGTTGGCTCAGGGACCATCTTCCTCAAGCAAAAAGAGGAAGACTGACAACAGATGTTAGCTCAGGGCCAATCTTCCTCACCAAAAAAAATAAAAAATAAAAAACAAACAAAACACTGAACTGTATGCTTTAAAATGATTAAAATAGGGGCCGGCCTGGTGGCGTAGCAGTTGAGTTCACGCGTGCTGCTTCGGCGGCCCAGGGTTCACCGGTTCAGATCCCGGGTGCGGATCCACTCACCACTCATCAAGCCATGCTGAGACAGCGTCCCACATAGAAGAACTAGAAGGACCTAGAACTAGGATATTTAACTAGTACTGGGGCTTTGGGGAGAAAAAAGAAAAAAAAAGGAAGATTGACAACAGGTGTTAGCTCAGGGTCAATCTTCCTTAAAAAAAGATTAAAATAGAAAATTTTGCTATCTATATTTTACTACAATAAAAAGATAAAATAAAGCACTTGCTGGCTTGATTAAGAAAGAGAGGAAGAAAGCACATATTCAAAACAAGAAAGGACCAAGGGAAAGTAAGCACTGAAACAGAAGAAATTAAAAAATAAAAAACTACCTTGTAGACCTCTATGCAAATAAATTTGAAAATATAGATGAAATAATTTCTTATGAAAACAGATGATCAAAATTGATGCCAATAGAGATGGAGAACTTAGGCTGATTTCTATAGAACAAATAGATAGTTATTCCAGACATTAAGGTTGGTTCAAGGTTAGGAAATCCCGGGGTCGGCCCCATGGCTTAGTGGTTAAGTGTGCGTGCTCTGCCACTGGTGGCCCGGGTTCAATCCCAGGTGCGCACCGATGCACCACTTGTCCGGCCATGCTGAGGCAACTAGAAGGATGTGCAACTATGACATACAATTATCTACTGGGGCTTTGGGGATAAAAAGGAGGAGGACTGGCAATAGATGTTAGCTCAGGGCTGATCTTCCTCACAAAAAAATTTTAAAAAGTAAAAAAGGTTAGGAAATCCATTAATACACTATATTAATAGTGCTAAGGGAGGAAAATCATGATTATCTCCAGAGATGCTGAAAAACTTTTGAAAATTTTCAGTATCATGCCTACAACTATTAATGTGTTCGCCAAATGATGTTTTCCTATTTCCATCATTCCTCCTACATTTATTAGTTGGAATTCTCCTGAAAAGAGCTTTCCCTTCTCTCTAAATATTATATAACATATCAGTTTGGATGCATGGATTCTTATTTTATTCTATGGGTTTTAATCTTTTATTATAATTTATTTTATTGCTCAAATTGTCTCAGATTTGCCCAATGGATGCTAAATTAGTGGAAAAATGCATGATGAGAAAGTATGATAAGAATATTAACAGTCTCAAAGTATCTCCCCATAAGATAATTATATATTAAAAAGAGGAAAAATTAGTCATTTTACAATGAAAAAATCTGGCAGACACTACCTTAACCAAGTGATCAAAGTTAACATCACCAATAAGGGGACTAATTATGTACCTCCTGATATGATGCACTGAGGACACATGACTTTGACTTTGGTGCCATTCTCGCTAAAAATGAATAACCTGAATTTAATCATAAAGAACATAAGATAAACTCAAATTGAGGGATAATCTACAAAATAACTGGCCAGCACTCTTCAAAAGTATTAATATGTTCAAAATTACAGTAGACTACGTAAAGGCAATGTGTGATTCTGGATTGGATCTTGGACCAGAAAAAGGACATCAGTGGGACAGCTGTTAAGATTTGAATAAAGTATATAGGTTTGATAATAGTAATGTTTATTTGATTGCCTGATTATATTAATGTTAATTCCTTAGTTTTGATTATTTTAATATGGTTATATAAGATGTTAATATTCAGAGATCTGGGTGAAAATTATATGGGAATTCTTTGTACTACTTTTACAATGTTTCGTTATCTCTGCAATTATTTCAAAATGAAAAGTTTAAAATATATATACACATATATAACCTAATACTCTGAAGTTCCCTTCTGGCCGACTCTTCGGCCATCTGTGAAGCCCGCAATTTCTCTTCACACTGATCCTTTTCAGATTGCCTCCAGACATCATGTTCCACTTTCATTTTCTCCAAATCTGCTAATCTGTTCTCAAGTTCTAGCCTAAAACAACAGACAATAATTATGTTACAAGAACTACAATAAGGATGATATGTCAGCAAAATGTTTCCATTTGCAAAGAGACTTAACAGAAAATAAAGTAATTAAGTACTTACTTTTCATCTTGTAATACCACAAGTTTTTGATAACCTTCTTCCTTGGCAGCTTGTACCTTACGTATTAATTCACGATCCTTTTCTACTAAGAGCATTTTGTGGTGTTCAACAGCTGATTTGAGAATTTCATTGTCTGACTGTAATCCTAGTAGTTTTTTAAGGAGAAAAATGTACTATACTCAATGTTACTAAGATGAAAAATCACAATTAACAGCAAGCATTCATAAGCTGGCAAGACAAAAGTGTAGAAAGTAAGTCTCGCTGGATATACTCAAAGATCTTTACATTATTGACAAATTTTTCTTAAGAATAAAACAGACGAAAACTCAAGAGTTAATTTTTCTGTCATTATTTTATTTAGTATACACACATAAAAACTTTAATCCTGAGAGCTGAGGACATCAATCCAGATGATATCCAAAGAGGTTTAAATACTTCACCTCTAAATGGGTTCTGTAACCTAAGCCCCACAGACAGCAGCATCATAAAGCTGGCTGGAAGCAGAGGGAATAAAATCATAGAATCCTTCAAAACCTATCATTCTAGCAGAACTGTTCCATTTCTAGTAGAAACACAAATTGGAAACTTTCAAGTTTGTCCAACGAATTCACAAATCTTTCTTGTAATGAGATGGCAAGTATTTTAAAGATGGAATAACTAAAACAAATTCATATCTAACTCAAAGTTAAAAAAGAATGCAGAACTGGATCCTAAACGCTGAGTTCCTAAGAAAATTTACTCCCCAACTCTATGGAAATCCATGAGTCAACATCAAGTAGAAATTAATAATGAAAACAATCATTTATTATAAGCTCTCTCTGAAACTACAGAGGTCAGTTTAACTAGACCAATTCAAGGACAGTTATAGGCCAAAGGCAGCTTATTTCAGCACTTATAAAAGTCGGAAATAATATAATTTCTGAGGAATCTTGATGAGAAGGATATTCTAAGACTAAACTGGAGCTTAAAAATAAGCCGAGGCTGAACTAGCTTCAATAACTGGCCTAGGGTCTACATAAAAAATTTCAAAAACTTAAAAATTGGGCCACCTATCTTCCTCACATTCTTTAGACTTAAAATGGCCTGGAACTAATAATCACATGATCTAAATAGATTTAAATTTATAAACCCAGGAAGTATGGAATCCCATTTGTAAAGTTTCACTTAATTTATGTATTAATCAAATAACTGACATAAACATAAGATTGATTTTTTTAAAAGTTAGATCACAGAACGAACATTCAACATATAAACAAAAACAACCCATATGTGCTCTAAGATTAAAATTCAATTAAGTTGAAAATCTGGAAATAAAAATTCAGTTTGAATTATTATTTTAATAATTTGAGTTTATATGTGAAAATAATAGTAAAAAGCATGGGAAATCATATATTACCATCCAGTTCACTCTGAATCTTATTCCTTTCTCTTTCTAGCTCACTCTTAGCTCTTGCTGCCTCCAGTTTGATGTCTGTTATTTCCAGTTTGTTTGAATGTTTAAGTTCTTTTACCTGTTGATAATTAGAAATTAAAATTACTATTAGTCATTTTCTTGCCATTAAGTGCTTACCCAAAAACATTAGTAGAAATGAGAAAACGTTTTGGTAGCAGAGTATACAAGGTAAGCACCTTCAGGAGGGAAAGTGCTTCAGTGCCTGAAACAGTACTTGGCACCAAGAAAACAGTCTTTTCCTAATAGAACTGAGTCATTTCTTTACAAATTCTTTACAAATATCTGGGTGGGGTCATCTGGCTTAATCTTGCCTTAAAAGGCTTACCTACCAGTACCTAAAAACCAACAGTTAATGACTGAAACATCTTTAGGGGAAAAAAATGAAACCTTCTTTTAAAAAAATTGGTGGTAGAGGGCCGGCCTGGGGCCCAAGTGGTTAAGTGCGCGCGCTCCGCTGCGGTGGCCCGGGGTTCGCCGGTTCGGATCTCCAGCGCACACCGACACACCGCTTGGCAAGCCATGCTGTGGTAGCGTTTATAAGTGATAGCATGTAAAATGTTATACAGGTATAACACCATCACATGGTCTCCTTGGAAAACATGAGCAACGTGTTATAGGTAGAGCAGAGGAAGGTGTGAAATCTAAACTTTATATGCCATACAAAAAGATTTTGTATCCTGTTAGCTATTGAAGGTGGCACAACCAACTTTATTTCAGAAAGTTAACTCTAATTGCAAATGTGTTGGATTAACAAACTGAAGGTAAAGAAACCAACTGCGAGGCAAAGGACTGACAAAGCGGGCAAGAAGGAAGAATCGATTGAATTTGGTGACTAAATGATTTGTATTTGTATTTGTGTGTGTGTGTGTGTGTGTGTGTGTGTGTGTGTGTGGTGGTGGTGGTGGTAGTGGGAGGAACAAGAGTAAAACATATAAATTGAATTTAAACCTTTATTGCCAAAACTTGATTCTTTTAAAGCCCCAAGTGAATGTAAATAATTGTCAATATTTTCTATATAATTAATCCATTACATACTAATTTTAGTTTTCCCTAAGACATTCTATTTGAAAGTTGAATAATTCTAGTTCATAAGTAGTATTCCTTCATTCATTCAATAAATATTTATCCAGCATCTATTAGGCGCCTGAGCACTGTTTTAGGAACTGGTGATACAGGAGCAAACAAGAAAGCTTTATCTCTCCAATCATCTGCACTACTCTCGAACATTTTCCATACCCCTTCCCTTTGGTAAGGTGCTTCTAGACTTAGGTACAGTACTATAATGAGGATTTAACTAATACAGATAGTAGGTTAGATAACCCTGCTTTCTGACATATTACTATACTAATATATAAAACTAGGAAATCAGAGTAGAAAGCCACAAAGATATACAAGCCAAATATGTAAAATGTGAGATGGTGGGAACAAAAGGGTAAAGGATAATTTACTTGAGTGCAATAAAAATCTATAAAAACTGGATACGGGAGTTAGAAACAAATTAGGAAGAGGCCCTAGAGCCAAAGAAGGCAAGGATGAGAGAAAGAGAAGTGTCTTACTGAAGAGACTCCATGCATGAAAGGTCTTGAAAACGTTGCAAGGAATGGTGTGGTGCAAAATCCTCGCTTCAAGGAAATAAACAGAAAAGCAAGTACTGTGCTGCCTCTGTACTGCTAACCACACTAAGACACATCTCTCCAAATTAACTTGCAGAGTTTTAAATGACAGTACATAAAATGAATACTTGTGCTGACATCAGTTGTGCATTTTTAAATTATTCTGAAGTTCTTTTCTATGAAAGCAAGTCTCATAGAACAATGTTTAACTACATGAAAGCAGCTAAGAAATCCTATTTATTTTAATACTTAAACTTTCTGTAGATTGGGTTTTACTACATTATAATTTCATGGACAGACAGAATTTAAACTATAAATGCTTTAAAATTTTGAAGAAATACAAGTACAACGAAAATCCAATTTCTATGACAAATGTAATTATCACCTGCTATTATATACTAACTGTAAAAGGTTACGAATGACAAAGCAGTTCATTAACAAACCACACTGTAGCTGCTTTAAATATGAGGTGGAAAATAGAGCCATCTTATTTTGTAGCATCTTAATTCATTTCAACAAGTAGAACTACAAAATATATAAAAATCTATTTCTTAATTCATTTCACCCTGAGATTTACTGAAACGAGAAAACATTTTCAACTAAACTATAATTATTGAAACTTAAAGAACACTGGATAGGAAGTAAATGAGTAAAGGCTGTCTTCAGGCTCCTTTTATCATTAAGCCAGTGGTATATGCTCAAGCAAGGGACTTGGCCTCTCTGCATTCAGATTTGCTCACCTGTGGACCTACATGAGTTTAAGTTTTCTTTGCTGCCACATTTCTATAATCCTGAAACAATGAATGCACTTATACTAATAGTAATTGTTAACGTCCTAAAAATATATTTAAAAGAATTATTTTATTGATTAAACATGAAACACTTATGTATTTATTACTTAGATACGACAAATAGTAGCACTTTCTTTGGGTAATTTGAACCATATCCCAAATAGTCGTAATGAAGTTTCTATCTGCCTCTAGATCCCTGGTTCTTAACCTTCTTTGTGATCAGGGCTCAAAAGTCCTAGGAAAACTAGGGATCTTTTCCTAAACAAAATGCACAATATTAAAATGTTCTATGTAATTTCAAGAGATCCAGTCTTCTGAAGCTCCCCTGGGCCAAGCTACCCTGTTTTATTTTTCCCACAATATGTTTTCCATGTAGATTCTGGCGTTTAGGTTGTGAATTTACTTTATGTTTTTGACACAATAGAAGTATTCAGAGAGTACCACCTAGTACTACCAACAAAACTTTAAGAAATGTAAAAATGGCAACAGTAGGCATTTTACAGGGGTTCAGAATCTGTTAAATTACACATACACATACACACAGAGAGAATGCAGGAAAACAATATATGTAAGCAAGAAATACAAATATAGTTGAAAAAAATGTTACTCAAGAAGCTCTTGATGCAAATTCCAAAGAGATAGTACTTAAATTTGATCTTTTTCAAAGGTCTGAGATGGTATGACCTCAATAAACCAGCTAATAAGAATAACTCCGTGGGATGACCCTTAAAACTGTATATTTTATTGGAGTTCTAAAGATCAAACACCTCATAGGGTAACTAGAAGAATTCATGTCTTTGAATGCGAAATATCTTTAACATCATCATTTTCAGGCTATCTTTGGTAATACTTTTTAATCCAAGACACTGATAGTCACACTGACATAACTCTGTTCAAAAATCTAACAAACATTTACAAATTTGAATAACTTAGACAAATGCACCCCAGGTGTTCCTTTGCATTGCAAACAACCGTTTGCTAGAATCACAAAATGTTGATGAAAATTTCAAGTTGCAAAGAAAACTGTGACAATCATGTTTGAAATATTATTTTAAAATTTATCCTTCCAATGAAATCTTTTTACCTGCAAGATTTCAAATGAAAACTTGGTTTGTCTAAAGTTGCAGGGTGGTTTTTAATATGCCATTTATATGCAAAATAATGCAAGTGTGCCTTTAAAAAGACAGGCAACTTTTAGCAATGTGTGTTAAGCAGAGAAATATATAATACTATACTAAAAAGCTCTTCCTTCAGCAGAGTAGGAAAAATCATCTATGTGTTAACTCTTTTTAAAAAGAAAGAGCAATAGAGAAGGGTATGTACAGAAAAAGAGAAATCAGAGCCAGGACACAAATGAGCTGAGGTAAAACGTGCTGCAGGAAAAGTATTTGGTGGTCCCCAAGAGTCAGAAGCCACAGCAGAAGCCAGCTTAGCCAATGTCCTGCTGCTGCATCTATGGTTCAGATTACTCCAGCTATTCCAGTCTAATCCAGCTACTCAGGTCTAGAACAGTGTTTCAAAAATATTGAGTACTCAATAATTTTTCACAAAATTGAAAATAATTTATACCAGAACTGGAAGAAAAGCATGAGAGAACTCCCTGTATCCTAAATTTACTTCTTTGTGTTTTGCATTTATTTCTTCATCTACTCTATCATTGTAGGCACTCGATATCTATCTACCGAATGTATAAATAATCTATTTACAGTTAATCAGGAAGCAATCAAATTATTTATTTATTTTCCAGTAGGACTTACACAATCTTAGGCTGGAAGTGTTTTTAGGGATCAGCTAAAACAATGCCTCATTTCATCTATGAGGAATCCCAATAATATTAAGTAACTTGCCTGAAGTTATACACACAGTTATTGACACAATGAGGAACAAAACTAGTCAATGAGCTTGAGGTTCTGTATGTTACATCATTTTCTCATTTAAGGATATCACTAGTGTATAATTGTTGCCATTGTCATTTTTATCACTAGCTACTGTTAAAGATAGCCTTCAGTGCTATCTTTAATCTTACAAAAATCCTGTAAGAGATAGGTATTATACCCATTTAAAAGTTAAGCAAGGGAGCTGGCCGGGTGGCATAACCGTTAAGTCCACAAGCTCTGCTTCAGCGGCCCAGGGTTCGCAGGTTCGGATCCCAGGCGCAGACCTACACACCACTCATCAAGCCATGCTATGGCGGCATCCCACATACAAAGTGGAGGAAGACTGGCAACAGATGTTAGATCAGGGCCAATTTTCCTCACCAAAAAGAAAGAAAGAAAGAAAAATAAAAAAATAAAAGTTAACCAGATCAGAAGTCACATAGGTGGTGAGTGAGATGAATGAGTCAGGATTCAAAGATAGAGTCATCTGATTCAAAGCCCATGAACTTTTCCATTGCACTTCATTACCTTCTCCAAAATGACAGTTTTTAGTTTCTAAATATTCTAGAATTTCTAAAAAATTTCTGAATCTCAACCTATAAGATAGATTAGAAGACTATATTTGAATTAAAATATTTTAACAACTAAAAATCTTATTGCCTAATTTGTACTTATTCTTTCTAGTGTCAGGCATGTCTAATGAATTAAATGATACATTGGCTACAAAACCACTTTGTAAACTGTAAAGAACAGAAATTCAAACAAAAATTTTAAATGTCACTAGACATATAATCTGCAAATATACAAGACTATGTGTTTGCCATGAAATAAACTAGGTAGACTATCTCCCAAGGATGGCATCTAATACATCTAAATATTATGGTTTGGCCTTTCAGGTACAGAAATCCAGTTCTGTCACCACACTTAAAGAAGATTCCAAAGGTTAGACTCACATTAATAAAGTTTACAAAGAGTGATCTATAAAATCAGAATGTCAGTTTATTATTACAATAAAAAACTATAATGGAAAATAGAATACTCTAAGTCTGAAGGACCAGTGCATTCTCTCCCTGTAAACAAAATTACATGAGAAGTCAAAAAACAGAAAGTTGCTTGGTGATCATGAAATCAGAACAAATGGAATGAGATGAACTGACTGCTTCATGGCCACAAATTAAAACAGATTAGTGTATTCCTTTCCATAGTAAGAATGATCTCATCAATGGGACCAGAATACTTGCATTCTGATGACTAAAATTCTCTCTTCCCTCTGTCATAAACACTGCCTGAGTCTTCTCAAGTAATCCCTTGGTCAAGGAATTTATGATGAATACATTACTCCTTTAGATAAGTTCATATATCTCTACCAGGCTACAGTAAATTTCCTCCAGTCTGGCAGCCATTTTGTTTTTTAAGGTGATTTTTACATAACTCTGCTCTGATAAAAAATACATGATTTCACTGATTCAGAAACAAGTCTCATTTCGAAGTTCTTAGAGTATGCCCCAAGTACTATTAATACTAATAGCTAATATTTGGGTGATTATATATTAGACCTTATGTTAAGTGCTTTATGCATAATATCTTAATCTTTGCCGCACTCTATAAGGTAGCAAGTCTCATCTTATAAAGGAAAAAACTAAAGTATTCAGAGAGAAAGTAAATTGCCCAAGGCCACACAGCTAGTAAGGGGAAGAAATGGAACTTGAATCCAGTCTGTCTGACTCCAGAGCTGATATTCTTATTCACTACAGTCTTCTATAGAATACTTTCATCATTGTTATCTTCTTTCTGGTTACTGGATTCCTTATATACACTGCATTTGGGGGGAAAAAAACCTGTTAAGTTCCCGAGAAAACACTGTACGTAAAAGATGTTCAAATCATTATATTCTTTTAAAAATAGCATAAATGCAGATCATGCTGCTGATACTAATTTACTCATTTAACAAACATTTATTGAATTCCTACTGTGTGTCAGCACTGTTCCAGGAGCTGGAGATACAACAGCAATAAAAGCAATGTCTCTGCTCTCTTGCAGCTTACATTTGGTTGAGAGAAAAGGGGCGGGAAAGAAAAATTGAGACAAAAAATAAATGAATATAAATATATCAGATGATGTTAAGAGCTATGAAGAAAAATACAGCAGGTAAGGAAGATAGAGAGTAAGGTAGAGGAAAAGGGAAGATAGTATTTTACAAAGTGAAGACAAGGAAGGCCTCTCTAATAAGGTAACATATGAAAGAGGTAAGAAAGCAAGCTATGTAGATACGTGAGGGAAGACCATGGCAGGTGGGCAAGTGCAAAGGCCCTGAGGTAGAAGTAAGCTTGCTCAAAAAAGAGTGAGAAGGCCAGTGAGGCTGGAGCAAAGCAAACAGGAGGGAAAATAGACTGTGATGGCTGTGGAAAGATTGCAGGAGCCAGATCACACAGAGTTCTGAACAAGTGGAGAGTAAAGAGACCATTTAGGAGGTTACTGTAAAAACTGAGCCCAGAGAGATCATGGGTTGGACTAGAGTGGTCACAGTGGACGAGGTGGTAAGAACTGGTCAGATTCTGCATGTATTGGGAAGGTAGAATGACAGGATAAAAAAAGATTTCAATATAGAGATCTAAACTATTTAAGCACAAAATTTCTTTGTCATTATACAATATCAAACATTTTAAAGAATGAAGTAGAAACATAAGGCAACTTACTTTACTGGTCAATGTATTTATTTCCCGTTCAGCTTTATGCAATTTACTGATTAAAATAGTATTTTGTTCATTGCTTGACTGCAGCTCTTTTTCCAAGCGTTCAGCCTGTAGTTTAACTGACTGTTTTTCAGCCTTTTATTAAAAAAAATATTTTAAAATTTGTTTATAATTTTTCACAATTATATAAAGATAAATAAGCACTATTTAAAATATATGTATAATCCTACTATCCAAAATTATTCAAAACCTTGCCAATATTAACATGTACCAAAGTAACAAGAATTTTCTCAAAGTAATTGGTAGAATTTAAATGAAGAATATTTGCTCCAGGAAATATGCAATAAAGGTATCTGGACAAACAATATATCAACAGCCACCAACAACAAAATAAAACTCATACTCTTTTCTCTGAGAGAGAGTACCTAACACACTCACTCGATACCTGTTTACTCTTATTGCTGACATAATTTGAACAAACATTTTTGGGGGTTTCAAGTCCATAGCAGATATCTGAAAAAGCATATTAGAAGGTAGAAGAGAGAACTTATTTGTAGTAAGAACTGAACATCTAAAATCAATAGAGATTAACAACAACAAAGAGATATAAGAATTCAAAATCCTCAACTAATCTGGAGCCTTTGGAAGTATGGCAAAGAGCTCAACAGCTCTCGACCTCATCACATAATATAGATTCTTGCTGAAGTCTAAGCTGTCAAGAAAATTTCTAGTTGATAATACTCTTAGTACTCATTAATTAGAGAGGGAAAACTAAATGCTTTTTAAAAATATTTCTACTCAAAATAGTTAAAATGAAAACATTTGGCATTTAATAGATAAGCTTCAGTTTTGTAACATCTCATTTCCTATTATCTTAAATATGATGAGTGTATTTCAACAAATAATTAGAAAAAAACTATTTTCCTCAAATATGAAATGATACTCTCTGAGCACGATACCCAAAAAAAAAATCAAGAAATGCTTGCTGTCATGTGCTTATTTTCATCTGGCAAATGATAAAATTAAATATAAGCTCTTCTGAAAATGTCACATCCCATCTTTTGTCATCTTGAATTCAACTTGTCCTGAAAAGAATCACTCTAAATGACCTCAATGAGAAGTTTCACCACATACTATATTCAATTGCATTAATCCCACTTACTCTGTCCCTGTGTAAATACATTAAGGATGGAAGGATGGCAACATAAACAGTCTCATTCTGAAGCCTCAGGTCTAAGGTCCAATGATACTGACTTTAGTTCAGGAAACCAGTAAATATTGTCAGAAGCTTCATCCAAAAAATAAAAAGGTGACTTCTACTCTTCAAAACATATCAGTGTACTCCTTGTACCAGTTTGCTGGCTGGGAAAAATAATTACTATTTTGGATCTGGATACTGGATTTTAATTACAAACTAGGTGCCCACTAACTTTCCTCCAACTCAAATCATTTCACAACTCTTCTGAAAAAAAAAAAAAAAAAAAACATTTTGGATTACTCAAAATAAATCAAAACAATCAAACTAGTATATTTGCTACAAGTTAGACACTAAGAACTAGAAGTAAGCATAACTGAACAAGATGGTGAAGGGGTCCAGAATATGCCACCATGGCATAAAAATTACTTTGAGCTGAAGGCAGTTGAGAATCAACAGACACAAGAAAAGTTTTTTTCCTGAACTATTCCTATCTGCCTAAAAGCAGAGCCTCCAAAAAAGAATTTAACTGTTATAAATCCCCTCTCCAGAGGTTTCATAACCAGGGAAGACTGACTCCTATCACAGAAGACAAGAAGTCAGCACCAGGATAAGAAATCACCTATACAGACAGTCACAAAACTGTCATATCTGCCATCTATTTTCCTAAGGACTCATTTATCTTTCCTGAAAGTCATTTGTTTTGCCTTAAGGGCTCTTTTTCCCTCTCTCATTTACCTATTGAGATGGTATATAAGCCCCAAATTTTAACTGCCTCTTTGAGTCACATTTTTCTGTGTACATACTCCTGTGTACATACGTGAATAAAAATGTCTTTTCCCTTGTTAATGTGTCTGTTGGTAGTTTAATTCACAACCTCCAACCACAGAACCTAAGAGGATGAACAAAAAGTTTTTCCTCTCCAACAAGGGAAGCCAAGAATTTTCATAGGAGAATACCTCTAGGAATACCAGCCTACCTATGCCAGCTTTTATCTTTCTCTAATGAACTCAGGGAAACTCAGCAAAGGTTTGTATGCATTAGTAGCAAAGTTGACGTTTATTACTCTGGCAAGAAGCTGTCATAAGATACATAAGTATGGTGTTTCTGCTTAAATAGGACTTATGATTTTAAGATCTTAAATCCCAGTGTAAGGAAATAACTATCTAGGAAGAAATTGTTCTTTCTGGTTTGAGATGACTTTAGTCTTCAGTAACTCAAATTTTTTTAGCTTTTGCATATTCTACTCTGTGGCATTATATGAGTTAAATCATTTCAGATAGGTGACTTGAATCCCAAAGAATAAATAATCCCTTTGCAAATGTGGTAGCATAGCTATTGCTTATGAATCAATAGCTTTCTTCTTTACAAAAAGAATATACACCCTTGGGATTCCACAAATGCGTCAGCATTAGACTGGTGAGCATACATTTATGCTCTAAAAATCAAAGGCTTGTCAATTGCACTTTAAAAAAAAATATGCCACGCTCTAAAGGGAAAGCAATTAAAACCTTACCTCCAGGGATCTGACTGTAGCCTGCATCTCAGCCAACTGCCGCACCTGAATTCTTTGGACACTTTCTACCTGAGCACCAGAATTCTCTTTTTCAGCTCTTAATTCTGCTACTTCTGCCTCTAAACCTTTTAATTTCTGACACAAATGGACTTTTTCTCGAACAAGTTGCTCCATTCGTTTGCTGTCTCTTGTGGGATCAACACTAAGCAGCTGGTTATGTAGTTCTTCTTTATCTTTCTCCAGTCTTGCAATCTAATAATAATTTAAAAGAAAGCAAACAACCTTAAATTCTCAAATTTTCAGTCATGAACATGCTTTACATGTCAGAAAATTAAAATTAAAAATTGCACAATATGAAAAAAAAAGCTCAGGTGGTGAAATGAAGAACAAAAAAGAACCATCTAAAATGTCACATTCTTTGTTCTGTACTCAGCATGACTCAAACATGAGTCCCATTTTCCCTCTGTCTCCTCGGGGTGGCTAACACAGGGCTCCGTCAGTTGCTGACTAAAATTCAAAATTATAAATTATACTATAAAAATAATTATTAAAAACATGTCAAGTATTTCAAAATTCATCAGAACATTATAGCTGTTTATGCAAGATCAATATGCTGATTACTACTAAGCTTTTCCTCACGTGACAGTAATTCTTGGGCTATGGCTATACTAATAAAATTACTTTATTCCAAGGCAACTTAATCCACAAAAAAGTTGCTTGTCCATATAAACTATAAATGTAACTGATAAGAGTTTTTAAATGATAGCTGAGAGTTTATTAAAGCCCTAGTTGTAATGATGGCCTAGTTCTTAATTCTCAAATTCAAGAAAGGACTCAAAATCATTACTTTAGGGCATGTGGAAAAGTCACTGGGGAACTTGTTGAGCAGGCACACCAGTGGTCTTCTCATTCATGCTAACCATCACTGCCAGATCCCATGGGCCTCCAAGTCAGTGGGTTTCAAACTGCTTCCTAACCTCTGAGGCACTTCAGAGGCCCCACAGCTCTGGGAATGAGTGGGCCAAGTAATCAGGGTAAAACTCCTTCTTTCCCTGTCCCGATCTCCCCAACTATCTATTCCCTACCACTACCACCACCAAATCTTTGTTGTTAACCAGAGCAGCTCCTCATTTTAGTCTCTTTTTACATATGGGGTTTCTTCAGATGATTCAACTAAAAAGAAAGGATTCAGTTGCGGAAAAAAAAAAAAAGTTAGACACCACTGCTCTAAACAACACCAGGGGTTGTTTGTAGCCAGGACTAGCTTAGAAGGCTCACTTGAAGCCAAAAGGACTTTAAGAAATGCTCTGCAACTGAGGCAAAAGTGGCCCAAGAGACAACTGATTGCTCAGATTGCTTTAAATGAATCTGGAAAGTGTGAGACCTCCACCCCAGGGCAGACTTTGTTTTCATCTGTAAAATGAGAGGTTAGACTGGAGGCCCTCTAAGATCTTTTTCAGTTTTAACATGTCGTGATTCCAATTTGGTTTTGGACACGCTTTATTAATGATGATAATGGGAAATATAGGTAGAGCTATCCAGCAGGCAACTATTTTCTCCCAGCAAATAAAATTTATCCTATGGGCCAGGCCCATGGCTTAGCGGCTAAGTGTGCACGCTCTGCTACTGGCGGCCTGGGTTCGGATCCCGGGCGTGCACCGACGCACCGCCTCTCCGGCCATGCTGAGGCCGTGTCCCACATACAGCAACTAGAAGGATGTGCAACTGTGACATACAACTATCTACTGGGGCTTTGGGGAGAAAAAGGAGGAGGATTGGCAACAGATGTTAGCCCAGGGCTGGTCTTCCTCAGCAAAAAGAGGAGGATTGGCATGGATGTTAGCTCAGGGCTGATCTTCCTCACAAAAAAAAAAAAAAAATTTATCCTAGAAGGCAGCTGTGCAATTCAGAGTCAAGCCCTCAAAAGCCCAACAAATTAGTGCCTCTCTCCTATTTTTCCTCCCACCCTTTATGTATAAACATTACCCCCAGAATTTCGTCCCTGACTACCTATTCCCCCCACCATGTTCTCTTTCCTTCAGCTAGCTGTGTGACTTTGTGCAAGTCACTTTTTCACTCTGCCATCAGTTAACATAAAGGGCTTGGGCTGGATGATCCTTAAGATACCATTTAGCTTTTGCATGAGGTAACTCAACTACAATTCTAATGTGCTATTTTGAGGTGTGGCGGCTCACCTAGGTCAGGAATTAACATGTAACTCAGGGTCAGAGCATGGTGCCTTTTACTGAGTACTTACAAAGCATCAAGTGCTAAGTACGCTACACACAAAAGTTCATTTAATAACAATTTCTCTCGCAGTCTTCGTTGCATATATGAGGCCAGACAGCTAATGTTCTTGACCAGCATACTTCCTACATTATTGCTTTCTCCAGTAGTTCTGAGAGGCATCTGCGGGATAGCTGAAGCTATGGACTGAACTAGCTAATGGCAAAGTCAGGATTAGTTCCCACATTTATAACTCCTAAACCAGAGCTCACTATCACATCATTCCTACCAAAACTGGTGATCACTATCTCCTAATTTCTCTATTCATTTATTCTTTCACGCAACAAATATTTATTGAGCACTTACTATGTACCTGGCACTGTTCTAGGTAGTAAGGATACATTAGAGAACCTAGCAGACAAGGAAATCATCACAAAACCAAGAAGCTTATTTTCAGTCCCTGCTATGACACCATTCTCTTCCCAGTCATCTGGGCACAGATCTTGGACACATCCTCAGCTCTACTCTTTTCTTCTACTCTCAATCAGATTCACATGTCATCTTCCTTGAAATACTTAATGTGTTGTACTCTCAACTGTTTCTCTCAATTTCCAAAAGGCTTTGTTTGAATTTCTCTTTTAGGACATTTATCCAAATCTCCCTGTATTACAGTTACCTCTACACTTACTTTATTATCTTCTAGAATATAAGATTATTTGACAGGAAAGATGATGTATTAACCAATTTTACTTTTTTTTTTTTTTTTTTTTT